CCCCAAAACCCCAAAACCCCAAAACCCCATCAGGAGAAGGAAAGATTGAAAATAGGCCTGAAATATTTTATTTTCTATAGCCAGTTAGGTATTGGGTATCTAGCACTGGGTCGTACTCATTAATGCCGGTCTTGATCCCTTTGAGTTTGCTCTAAACATTAGGTTAGCATGATTTACCATATTAGTCTTGGCATGCTGCTTGGCTCTGAAGCCTTTGAATCCTTTTCTAATCTGGGATCAGATGGAAATTCCTGATTTCTCTAAGGCTACAATTCCGATATTTCTTTTAGAGTATCTCTCTCCAAATGTCTGCTCACTTTCAGATAATTTAACCTGCTTTTTGATAGCATGGAGTCCTTTGGGTCTGCAGCCTGAATGGATCACATATTGGTCCCATTTATCTGGCCTTGGCATACATCAGTCATCTATGCGGTTATTCGGTGACAAATACCTGACTCTGAGATGTTGCGATCAAATTCATCAGGAGTTTCCTTTACACTGGAGAGGTCTGCCCCCAAAGTGTGCTGGGAGAGATTCTGACTGCTGAGGTAGTTCTTTTCCTCCTCCTTCAGCATTGGATCAGAGTTATCAAAAGTGATATTTAGTGGTTTTCTAGTAGAGTCATCCCCCTTTCCAAACTCAGTACTGTCCATATCTCCTTCAATCGGTGAACTAGTAGATAGTTGTGGGAGTGGTGCTGGTTTAAGGACCAAGGAAGGACGGTTCTATACCAAATCACATTTGAATTTTACCTCAAAAATTCTGTCATCAGCCTTCAACGGCTCTGGTTCAGAAGCCTTTGGAGGTTTTGACACCAGTTTAGGTTTCTGGACCTGATGCTTCTCTTTAGATTTCTCATTCTGGCTCTCTTTCACTTTATGTGCAATGACGATAGGCTTGGAGGGTAGCTTCTTGGGCTTTTTCTTCTTAGATTTTTCTAAAAGAATAAATAAAAAATTACTCTTTTTACCCTTCTCCTTTTTCTTGATGTCTTTCTTAGTCTCCTCTGTAGGTTTTTGAGCTACTTCAGGTGCACAATTTTCTAGAGGAATATTGAAATCTTCGAATTCATCCTGTGGCCTGGTCACTAAGCCTATAGGTGCGTCAGACTCGACTGAGTCTTCAAGTTCAACTGGGGGCTGATCTTCTGATTCAGTCTTTATTTCAGGCTCCTGCTCAGGCTCTGGAGCTATAAGTGTCTCTTCTACCTTCTTAATAATTTTCTTAGGTTTCTTGGGAAGTGGTTCAAGCCTGGCTGGCCTTTGAATTCTTTGATGGTCAAATCTTCTCATTGCCTTAGGATCTAGATATAGCTGCCAAAAGATTACCTAGAAGGACTCTTCTGGTAAGAACCTCTAGCTTGTCATCATTAACACCCATGTATTGAACACAGTAAGATTGATTAGAGATGGATAAGCTAGGTTGGGATCTATGCCTTCCTAGCCTTGACCTCTTCTGAGGCTGTAGGGGCTCTTCACTCTCTGACTCTATTTCTCCAGCTGATATTTCCTCTAGATCTTTTGGTAATACATTAATCCTACTAGTAGTGGGAACCTTAGTGAAGTTCTTCAATACTGACTCTGCCTCTGTTCTTGTCTTCAATAAATTTGGTAAATTATCTACTTTTATTGTAGAGAGAAGGCTTTGTTCGTCGAATACATTATTTTTGAGGATCTAGAAAGGTTACAGCTAAAACTTGGTATGCTACACTCTAGCTTACCTCGTGATTGGCGACCGGAGAGCTTGCTTTTCTGTCGCTTTTTCTACCGAGTAAAACATCAGTTTACCTTCTTGGGTGCCATATTACCCTTGATATTAAGGATTACTTCAAATGTGATTTCTATGGAATGAGCTTGGGAGGTTTACCCTTATTATCTCCTGGTTCTTGATCAAACTCTATAGCTCAATGTTACACCCAGCTAGTGCATAAATAGGGACTGGATGAACCCAGGCTCATTATTGGGTGCTTACCCTTAGCCATTTGGTAAAAGTCCTGGCTATTCTTCCTGCCTCTGTTTTTAGAATCATTCATTATTGCTTGCTGTTTGACTTTCTTTAGGATATCCTCTTTGTACTTGTCAGGAATGGATGACAGCCAATTTATTTTATGTGTCTTGTCTTCTGCCTTTATAAATATTTCCATTTATATTATTTTTAACATATTTTTGGGGTTTTGGGGTTTTGGGGTTTTGGGGTTTTGGGGTTTTGGGG